GCAGTTTCCTTGGTGCAGCCCCAAACACATCCAAATACAGGCGGAGACCCCCTCCGTGGCTTCTGGGTTTGGAAAGCCTGGAAGATGATCAAGAGGGTTTCGGAGGGCCCAGTGTAGGAGAATATCTTGATCTTCTTTGAAGAGACAACTACATCCAAGGTCAGAGAGGACTTGGGTTTGCGAAAATTGCATCTAGATCAGGGTTTCCTCAACTGTGGCACAACAGATATTCTGGGCTGCCTAGTTCTTTGTTGTGGGGGGCTGTCCTATACACTGTAGGATATTTAGCAACATCCGGGGGCCCCTACCCACTCGATGCCACCCCTAAGTTGTGACAAGCAAAAATGTCTCTAGACGTTGCCAAATGCACCCGGGGGGCAAAGCTGCCCTCAGTTGAGAGCCCTTCTGGAGGAAGTGAGCCCACTCGACTCCAACCCTGGATTTATGTCTGCAGTAAATCAGTGAGGAACATTCTTAGCCACTCACCATATCTGCCTTAAAACGATGTCTTCCAGTCCTCAGGGATTTTTTTTTTTCTAAGTTCACAGTCTAGAAGGCAGTTGTTCTCAACCCTGGCCACGCAGAATCTCCCAGGGAGCGTTTTAAAAATATAGATTCCGGGATACCACCCCCAGAGATTCAGATTCACTGGGCTTGGGGCAGAGGCAGGACATGGGTATTTTTTAAAAATTCCCTAGGCGGTTCTAACATGCAGCCAGGATGGAGAAGCATTGCCGGAAGACATTCCATGTGCTTCCATCTCCCCCATCCTTTGAATCTGGCAGTGTTAAAAGCCAGTGAACCAGAAAACCAAAATGAAGCTAAGGGGATTTAAGTAACAACCTCATTCTTGACAACAAAACATCCTCAGCACACTCCATTTCTTGGCCTCCAGATGACTTGCTAGAAAGAATGGAACTTAACCCCGTAATCATGCAGTTTGCCCATGGCTTTATTGATCTAAACAGTGCCTTCCCATAAAACTTTCTGGGAAGATGGAAATGTTCTCTATCTGCTCTCCCTAATATAGTAGTCACTGGCCACCCATGGCTATCGACCACTTGAAATATGGCCAGTGTGACTTAAGAAGAGAATTTTAAATTTTATTTAATTTGAATTTGATGGCCACCATATTAATAGCATGAAAAATATTTGTGTCCCTGCAGGGTCACAAAAATAAAGTCCCGTAGGCTGCTAAATGCTACGGAACCGTGAAAATTTACAAAAATATATGCCTTAGAATATCTAAACG